TCACCCAGCAAAGCTGCATGCTGCAGTTGTATTCCTGGGCAAGGGGGGAAAATATGCATTGAAAATTCTTGCCTGCATGGTTTCTGCTGAGTAGTCCGAGCTTATTCTTATTGACTCTCCTTTGTAGATGACTTTTTGTTTATCCCTAGCTGCTCTTAAAATTCCCTCTTTATCTTTGGTTTTGGCAAGTTTGATTATAATATGTCTTGGTGACCTTCTTTTGGGATCTACCTTATGTGGGGTTTGATAAGCATCTTGGATAGATATCTTGTCATCTTTCACGATATCAGGGAAGTTTTCTGCCAACAAATCTTCAACAATTCTCTCTGTATTTTCCGTTATCCACCCCGTTCTAGTACTCCAATCACTCATAGGTTATTCCTCTTGATAAAGTCCCACATAATTCTTAGGGTTTCTTCATTTTTTTAAATCCTTTTATCTGATTTTTCCTCAAATAAGTTGGTGTCAAGTGCTTTATCTTCATTCTCACTAATTCTGACTTCCATTGCCTCAATTCTGCTCCTATAACTTTCTATGGAGTTGTCTAATTCTGACATTTTATTGTTAATCTTCTGGATTTCTGATTGCTGTCTCTCTATGGATTCTTGCAGCCTGTTAAATTTGTCATTATGCTCTTCTCTACTCTTTTTAATTTCCTCTATTGCATATTCTGCATCTTGCTTAATTTCCTTCCTAATTTCTTGAAGAGTTTTGTATATTAATCTTTTGTATTCTGCCTCTAGTAATTCCAAGAAATTGTCCTCCTCTGGAAAATTTCTAGATTCTTTATTTTGGGAGCTTGCTGAAGCCATCATGGATTGCCTCTTTACGTGATTTGATATTGACTGTTGTCTCTGAGCCATCAATAAGTTATTATATTTATTTATTTTATGTTTGCTTACTGTGTGCTAGCTTCTTGTTTTGTTTTGATATGCCCAAATAGGCTGCTCGTATGAGCTAGTTTGATTATTGGCACCTTTGAAGCTCTAATGTCCTGTCACCAGGTGGTTAGATCTGTTACTAGGTATGTGAGCTCAGGAGTCCACCCATTCCTCCTGTATGGATTCAGCTCAGGTGCCCAGGTAGATAGCCACCAAGTGTGTGGTGTAGGCTCTCACTTACAGTCCTAGACAGGCATGGGTGATTGGTGTAGACACAGGCATCTGGCTGCAGCAGGGGGACACACTTTGAGCAAGGCAGGGGACTGATGGCCACCCCCGAGTGTCCAGGAGGAAGGCACATTCCTGTTCCCTACAGCGTGTAGGTGGATGGGTTTTGCAGCCAGACTATGAGCACCTAATGCTGTTGGCTGTAAGGATTGGGGGGCACCTCTTATTCATGGGCCCCTATCACAGGTGGCTATGTGGCATGGGTGGGGCCACCAGTTCTCAGGCCCCTGATGTGGGTAGGTGAAGACCCTGCTTAATGCGTGGAGCAGTGTCAAATGTCAAGAACCTGCCACTTCACAGCTGAAACAGTTGAAGTTAGAGTTCCGCTATAGACCCTGTTGTACTGCATAATGAGGGCCTACACTGTTGAGATGGGCCCACACAAGTCTATGCAGGGGGAAAGGCACTCAAACTCCATGGATCCCTTATGCCTGTGCCTAGGTTAAGGAGCTGTGCTACCCTGGGTTCCTGGCTTAGGGGAGCCAGCAGTTTATTTTTTCCCATTTGTTAATTTGTTCACTCTCCAAGGCAGGGAGAATGGCTCCAGACATGTGATGGATCCTACTTCCAGCCCAGGGGACTCGGCAATTCCTGAAGCCAGTCCGGGACCCAGTGCAGAGCAGGGAGCGGGGAGGTAAATGCAAGAGAGGTTTTTCCCTAAGGGAGGTGTTTTTGATCTGTATGGTAAGCCATACGCAAGTACTTAACTTTTGCCGATGAGGGCTGTTTCTCACTGGTTCTGTGTGGCTGTGTAGACTCTCTGGTGCTGAGTCTCTCCCGGTGCGGAAAACATACCTCCCGAACACCGCCGCTTGCCTGCCTCACCACTCACCCCCAGGCTGATCAGGCCTGAAGGGCTCAGGCTCTTGCCGGGTCAGGTCTAGCAACTCCTGGCTGCTTCCGAACCATCTCTCCCTCCCCTTGCCGCTCAGTCTGGTTCCTCAGCTCTGCCTTTGATGTTCAGGGCTCCCAGACTGCCATATATAATCAAATCACTTGTTTTTTCGGGTCTTTGTTGTAAGAGGTCCACAGGAAGCGTCTGACTACTCCTCCATCTTGGCCCTGCCTCCAAAATATGCATTGAAAATTGAGGCCCTCAATACATTCAAAAATCTAGTAGGTCTATCAATTTAAATAAGGGTAGTTCCTTCAGCTCTGAGAGGATTATATACACCAGCATAAAACTAACTGTGGCATTATTAAACTCATTGCCATCGAATCGATTCTGACTCATAGCAAACCTATAGAACAAAGCAGACTGCCACATCTTTCTCCCGTGGAGCAGCTGGTAGGTTTGAACTGCTGACCTTTCGGTTAGCAGCCGAGCACTTTAACCACTGCACCATCAGGGTTCCTTTGTGACATCATTAACAATACTAATTAAACATAGAATGTGCTCTCTGGTCTCTTTTTTTAAGATAAACAGTGTACTAATTCAAAATCTTAAGTCCAATAACCTAGGAGAAAGAATATATTTTTTAACCAAAACTGTATTTCAAAAGACTTGACAAAGATCATAGTTCAGATCAAAAACTGACAAAATATATTCTCAAAAAGAAGTTGAAATTGAATTATGTAGAAGACCTAAAACTCTGGGACATCTTAGGTGAGTCAGGAAAATTCTAACATATTTCATTACAACTGCCATCATCTACTAAATTTATAAAATCATTATAATTTCACAAGCATGGATTTTTCACAAATATTTTTTTTTCTTTGACTTAATGAGTCCTGCCGGGTAAAGCTGTCATCTCTAACTCAGGTTCATTTGGGGAAACTTGCTTTTTCCAGACGGTATCAAGACGATCAGACAGCTAACATGAGACACTAAACTCAAAGTCATGCGGTCTTTATCTTAACGTGGAGTGCAAGAGCTGTTCGCCTCTGAGTCTGCTTTTGATCCGTTCTTTAAACTGGTATTCTACTATGGGATTCTTCACCAAACTCGTTGCCATCCAGTCATTCTGACAATGTGTGACAAGGTAGAACTGCTCCATAGGGTTTTCTTGGCTGTAATCTTTATGGAAGCCTTTCTTCTGTAGCGCCACTAAGTGGGTTCTGACTGTCAACCTTTCGGTTAGTAGTCAAGCACAAACTGTTTGCACCATCCAGGGACCTTGGAATTCACCACACTACTCCTAAAATGTCATGCTGCACTGTCAGAAAACTACCAGTGTTATCCTGAAAGTCTGAAATGAGGTCTGTTGCAAACCTAGCTGAACCACCTTCCCTGCCATAGAGTAGAAGAAACAGAAAGTAATAGCACATCCTATATCTTTGCTACGTCAAACACATGGCTAGCTTAGCACCCAAAAGATTACCTGTCTTTCAAATTAGCTTAAGAAACTGTACTAGTAACCTCAGGACATTTTGCACCTTTAGCCAGGAGCTGTTCGCTTGCCAAAATGCTGACTGATTCAATGAACTTGGAGTGATGTATCTATCCAGTCTTCTTGTTTGTTGATGTGCATCTGTGCCCCAAGGATCTTTTTCATCCTCAGAGTCAACAGCTCAGAAAGTACAATTTGGCATGAATTTATCAGTCGAAATAGGTAAGGAGACTGACTATATCCTAACATTCTAACCCAGAGATGGTAGGGAGGAAGAATAATCCAGCATTAGCAACCAGAGCAGTGTTATTAAAATATTACACCCATTAACACTTCAAATCAAGAAAAATCTGGTGGAGAAACTCAACTTTTTCATTTAAACTAGTATTCTCAACCCAGCCTACATACTGAAATCATTTAAGGCACTCATTAAAACTGCTGATGGCCATTATGGTTCCACAACACGATGAATGTAATATCACTGAATTGTAGACATAAAAAATGTTGAATTGGCAAATGTCATGTTATATACATTTTTACCACAATAAAAAAAATTATTTAAAAAAAATAAAGTTGCTGCCCAAAACCCACTCCATGCCAATCACATCAGAATCTCTGGGATAGGGTCCCATGCACCGAGAATTTTTAAAAGACTCCCCAAGGTGATTCTAACATGCAACTATAATTGAAAACCACTGATTTAGACCAGGAGTTGGAAAACTTTTTCTGTAAAGTAAACATTTTAAGCTTTGTGGGCCCTTCAGTCTCTGTCACAACTACTCAACTCTGCAGTAGCAGCAAAAAAGTAGCCACAGTCAATACATAAACAAGTGTGGCTGTGTTCCAATATAACATTATTTATGAACACTAAAATTTGAATTTCATGTAACTTCTATATATCACAAAATATTACTCTTATTTTGATTTTTTTTCCAATCATTTAAAAATATAAAAGCCATTCTTAGCTTGTAGGTCATACAAGAACAGATGGCAGGCCGGATTTGGCCAGACCATATTTTACCAACCCCTCATCTAAAATAGATTGAACACAATTTTCTTAGTATTTTCTCAAAAATATCTGCTCAGTGTTATGGACTGAACTGTGTCCCCCAGAAAGTCATGTTGAAGTCCTAAACCCCTATACCTGTAAATACCGCCCTGTTTGGAAATAGGGATTCTCTTTTGTTATGTTAATGAGGTCATACCGGGTAGGTAGATCCTAAAGCTAATCCCTTCTGAGTGATGTCTTATAAAAAGAGCAGAATAGACACAGACACATAAGGCAGATTCATCTACAAGCCCAGGAACACTAAGGATTGACAGTAACTACTAGAAACTGAAAGAAACAAAGAAAGACCTTTCCCCAGAGCCAACGCCCTGAATTCTGACTTCTAGTCTCCTGAACTGTGAGACCATTTATGGTATTCTTGTTACAGCAGCACTAGCAAACATTCAGTGACTCAACCGGTCCTAGAAAAGATCCCCTTCAAAACACGGATACCTTCAGATTCAAGTTGGTCCAGGCCGTATGTGGCAGCTGTATAAACACGACTAATGGATGGAACAACAGTTCTTCTCTCAGAGGATGCCTCAGAAGCAGGAAGCACTAGGGAAATGCTGGCCGCCTCCTCCATTATTCCAGGGGGGGTCACTGGAGAGCCCAAAACCAACGTGAACAACTCCTCACTTGGTCCTGTGACGGTGTCCATTAGTTCTGCCAAGAAAAACAGACATGATTTGACCCACAAGATGATCACTATGGGAAATGCAAACTGTGCTTTCACTTTTTAAGCAAGAAATGATTCATGAAACCCATATCTTATATACAGTAAGTTTGGCACCTAGACCAGCTCCCCTTCCACATATTGCATTAATCCAGCTATCTAAGTCAAATACCTTCTCTTCCAAAAAAATATATTGTCTCAAATCAGAATTTTTTAAAAAAATCTCTATCTCCTATTCATTCTAGTCACAATAATATGGATGTTCCAAGATTTTACATAATTTATTATATTTTTGTTAAAGCAGCAAATTTAAGAAAAATTCATTAAAATATATGCTGAAGACCATTTTCGAAAACCAAGTGTCTTTCTCAAAATCAACATAAATACTGAGAGCTAGATTTCCGTCTGAAATGTGTTCAATTTCAAAGCAGCCCAATTTAGCTCCAAGTTATCCCCAAGTCTACAGACTCTTAAACAGTTGTAGTTTGCAAATCTGGTTGATCATCAGAATTTTGTGAGGTAATTTTTAAAATATAGATTCTCATACTTTCCACACACCCCAACTTGCTAAATCAGAATCTCTTTGGCAGTGAAACCTAAGAAACTAATTTTTAAAAGCTCCCAGGATATGGATCCACAGGGTCTCTCATACCTTGCTGGTGGGAGTATAAATTGGTGCAACCACTTTGAGAAATAGTTGAGCATTACTTCCTAAAGTCAAACATTAGCAATTCTACTCCTAGGTATACAGATACCCAAGAGAAACTCCTGCATACATACAATGAAGAGCATGTAAAAGAATATCCATGGCTATAATGTTCACAATAACAAAACCTGGAAATGACTCAAAAGCAAATGAACAGGAGAGTGGCTGAAAACTGGATGAATAAACTGCGATATATTTTCAAAATGGAATATTAAACAGAAGTCAAAATCTTCATCATATATTAAGTAAGAAAATAAATTGCAAAAGGCTATCTATGTTATGATTTCCTTTTTATAAAGTTAAACATAGCTAAAATTTTAAGATGTATACTTTTAAGAATAAATATAGATGCAATAAAACTAAAGGAAAAGAAGTCGAGGAAATGATGAACACAAGATTCAGGATGATGGTTACCAGAAGAGGAAGGGCTGAGAAGGGAAGCGTCATGGAGTTGCATGTAGGTTATTGACAAGTCCCTGGTTTTTGTAAAGGAGAGGGAGGATTGGAAGGTATCTATTACATTGTTAAAAACAATGCATTAAATAATTAAAAGTGGGCCATACTTAATTAGACACAGACATGAGGTCCAGAAATAATAATATAGCCATTCCTCATTATTCTTGGATTCCAGGTTTGCAAATTCACCTACTAGTTAAATTTATTTGTAACTCCAAAATCAGTACTTGTGGCACTTTCCCTATCATTCACAGACATGCGCATGCACGGAGTGGTGAAAAATATGTGTCACCCAATAGCATATGGTCCCAGCTGAGATCAAACAAGGCTGGTTGGGTAGTCACGAATTCAGTGCTCACAGGGACTTTATAGAGCACTACTACTGCAAATAATGAGAATCAACTTACTATATATGCTTTTTTAAATACCCAGGTGATTCTGAAGATCACCCAGAATGAGAGCCTTCCTGCCCTTAAGAAATCAGAGCTTTTGATGGCCTCCTATAACTTTAGGTACAGTATTTCCAATCCTTATAATAGTCTATAAAACAGGTGCTATTTAGTGATGAACAAACCAAGGCTTAGAGAAGTTAAGCAACTTAATTGAGGCCACAATACTAGCATCAGCCAAGCTGGGATTCAAACCCAGGTCCTTGATATTTTCACCTCACCTCTCTGACTCCTAGCAGCCAGAGCTGCAAATTAGGAGAGAGTTTTCAGGTCTATCTGCACAGGACCCAGAGATAAGACATCCAGGAGTTTTTATTTGGGAAGTAACCTCTAGTCTTTTAGGCTATGCCACATAGCTTCAAACAAGAGATATTTCATCTCCCTTTTCCATCCACCATCCAGGTGAAGTGTGTGTGCACACCCCGGCCACTGTTAGGGCCATCTGCCTCATTCTGTTCTTTGTCAGCTCACACAAAAGATCCAACCCCAAAACACTGAGACCAATTTCCTCCTTACATACCTTCCACAGTGGGAGTAACTTCAAAAGACAAAGGTATGGCTGTAGTTGAAACTGCAGTGTCCAGAGGCTCCGATCTTCTTGACAGCTGAGTAACACCAGGAACATCAGGCGTGGGGGAAGGAGACTCTTTCCCTTCCTGGGTCTCACCATTTTCTCTGATAACCTCAAGGGTAGAAACCTGTTCTTGTGTCATCAGTGATAAAGTGGCTTCTGCTTCTTGAATAGCTGTTGTCATCTCTTGAGTAATAATGTCTTGAAAGGGAAGAAACAATATTTTAAAATAGATCAAATTTCTACACCTTAAAAAGTCACTATCTAATTAATAAACTAGGGGAAAAAAGTGCAGATAGCTATTTCAGGGATTGGAAAGGGAAAGAGAGAGCTCAGAAATCAAATGCTAGTAAATCAATGCTTTCACTGTTGTTACTTTCAAAAGTGGTATCCAAAACGAAGTAGGAAGAGTAACAGCTGAGCTACCTTTCAGATGCATTTGAATATCAATATAATCAGTTTGTTAGGAAACAAATGATACACAACTAAGTTATACTCAAAAATTCTCAGAAGCACTTGTATATATTTTAACATTTGCATTTCTAAAGGGGAAAAGGAAGTTACCATTTTAACATAGTAATAATAATAATTACAATAACTAATGTTTACTGAATTTCGATTATGTGCCATACACACACAATGCTAAGTGCGTGTTGTGTATTGTCTTATTTTATCCTCCCATATGGTCTAATGGAGCCCTAGCAGCACAGTGGTTAACAGCTCAGCTGCTAACCAAAAACGTTGGCAGTTCTAAACTTGGAAACCCTATGGGGCAGTTCTACTCTGTGCGATAGAGTTGCAATGAGTTGGAATCAACTTGATGGTCACGAGTTTAGTTTGGTTTTTGGTTTACGCATTAATGGAGATAAGTACTAGTATCATCCCAGAAAAGCCATATATCATAGTGATCAAGAATACAGGCTATCTGGGGCCAATCTATCTGATAAGTACTTGATATGTATTCAATGAAAAAAAAGTTTCCGTAGAGTAGACTCCAACTCATGGTGACCTCATGTGTGTCAGAGTAGAACTGTGCTCCATAGGGTTTTCAACGGCTGTTTTTTCAGAAGTAGATCTCCAGGTCTTTCTTCTGAGGCACCTCTGGGTGGAATTGAAACTCCAACTTTTTGGTTAGCAGCCAAGCAGATTAACTATTTGCACCATCCTGGGACTCCAAGTACTCAATACGTATCAGCTATTGTTATCCTTATTTTACAGAATAACTGAGGTTTAAAGAAGCTAAGAAACCTGCCTGAGTTTACACAGCTAGTACTCTTTCCCGCTGTGCTAACTATGCCTTAGAACAACTTGGAGTGGCCTCTGTAGAAGATTTGCATTTGTTTTTGTTTTTTAATTTTATTTGGTTGTTATTGTTGTTGAAAATACTAACAGCAAAACATTACACCAATTCAACCATTTCTACATGTACAATTCAGTGACACTGATTACATTCTTCAAGCTGTGCAACCATTCTCACCCTTGTTTTCTGAGTTGTTCCTCCTGCATTAACATAAACTCACTGCCCCCTAAGGTTCCTATCTAATCTTTTGAGTTGCTGTTGTCACTTTGATTCCATATAGAAAGTTCTTAACAGAGCATAATGTTCAAGGCAAGCCTTTTTTACTAGGTAAGCTAAACTATTGTTTGGTTTCAAGAAGATTTCAGGGGCTATTTTTGGTTTAAGTTTTAAAGATTATCTCAGGGCAATAGTTTCAGTGGTCATCCAGCCCTGCATTTGTTTTTAGACTAAGAAAGGGGAATAAGTAGACTTGCAGGGCATGACATATCTATCATAGGACCACTTTCTTTACAACATTATAATCTACTCAAATACATTATTGAAGACTATTTGTAAGGACCAAGATTTGCTTCCTTCTTAAGAAAGGGCTACACTAGAAATTCAAATACTGAGTCACTACTAAAACTTTAATTTCTAGGAGACCTTATTTTATCTATTTTAAAATACTAGTTCTAAATACATAGCACATTAGCAAGTCCAGTAAGTTATACAATGAAAAATAACAGCATTCTAGGGATAGCTAGAAAAAGTTGTCTCAAATTTCTCATTAGTGACATCATGATACTTCCTATTATTGATTTTTCCTTGGAAACCAGGTATTTGCTTTAGAAAAGTATTTGTTTGTTTTTCTAGTATAAGCAATCACTTTTCTTGGTAGCCATCCAGTTTGGACTGTATCTTTTTTTTTTTTTTTTGAACTTAACAGATCTTTTACATTTAATGGATTGATGTACCTGATTACAGGACAAACAATGTGAGTTAGCATAAGGTTTTTACATGTGCTTCATATTTGCACCTTGAACTTTTAATTTTTTTTCGTTCTCCAATAAGATTGTAAATCTCTTGAGAACTGCGATTCGTTACCTTTTTTTTTTTATCTCCAGCACCTAGGACAGTGCTCTGTCTGCCACAGGATAATAATATATAGTTTTATTATTTTAAGCAGTATGAGTTCTCTGTGTTGTCCTCATTTTTTAAAACATAATGAACACTTTTGAGAATATGTGACTACTGTTGATAATCTCAATCTTTCATTCTTTTGAACTCTTGGGGACAAAAAAATTAAAGTGAAAGGAATTGCTTGACTGTTCCTCTTTTCACACAGAACATTGAGCAGCTATTTGATTAATCTGGACAAGGTAAAAGCCAAATTAGATAATTCCAAACTGAATGGTTCTCTACCTTCATTTACTCACCTACTGAACAGAAATTAATTGAGCACCTACTATGTGCCAGGTATTGTGCTATGTGCTGGGAATAAAAAGAAGTTGCCTGTTAAAAGACTGTGGCTAGTCAGGAGATTATGAACAAGTAAAGAGCATATTCAACAATCAAAAAATCAGATAATTACCAAATTCATTTTACCTTTTAGGCTGCATAAACAGAAGCTAGTGTAGGTCTACGAGTCCCTGGGTGGCACAAACAGTTAAGCACTGGCTACTAACCGAAAGGTAGGCCATTGGAATCCACTCAGAGGCACCTCAGAAAAAAGGTTTGGCAATCCACTTCCAAAAGATCACAGCCATTGAAAACCCTACGAAGCGCAAATCTACTCTGAAATACATGGGATTGCCATGAGTCAAAACTGAATAGCAACTGAGGTTTTTTTGTTTGTTTGTTATTTTACTACATAAGAATCATGGGTTTAATTGTTCAATGAGAAATATGGTACAATATGAGCTTAATGAGCCCAGAATTATCTTAAGGTGTTAGACAGAACTGAATTAACCCTCTTACTCAGTCATATCTAATACCCTCTTGGTCATGTAGACCCAACTTTAATGTCATCTAAAAACCAACTTTTCTAGAAGCATCTATGAAAACTTACAGTAAACTAGGTCTTTCAGTATTTCAAAAACGAATGGGACATGTAAAAATCAGTCTTTTCTTTATCATTTCATTTTAATCTTAATAACACTTTTAAATGTATTACTAATTGGATATTTTCATTAATTGGGCTACTTGGTTTAAGTAACAAATTGCATCTATTCCAAAACAATCTGGAATGAACATGTGCACATTACACTAAGCCTTTCCTTCCTGTGCCATGATCTGAGCAACTACACATGATAAAAGAAAAATATTATCCCATAGCAACAAATATAAGGCTTGCCAGTTTGCAGCATTCATACATGTAGAAAACAGAAAGTACAGAATCAAGCCAGAAGATGACTTATCCTTATTGTTTTTTCCCATGGTTTCTGAATAAAATTCTTTGTGAGAAAACAAAGTTGGAGAATTCATGTTACTATTACAAGATACATATATACCTAAAGCTTTCTTGTACGATACATCAGGGATGTAAGTACTTTTTCCAACAATGTGTAAGTAAGTATTCTGCATTGTTTTTTATACCATTTAACCCTTTTTCTATATGTTTCCACATTTTCATAATAAAATGTGAAAAAATTAGTCTATAACAGGGTTCCTCAACTTGGCACTACTGACTTTTTGGCCAGATAATTCTTTGTTGGAGGGTTGTGGCAGGGGGAATCCTATGCATTGTAGGATGTTCAGCAGCATCCCTGGACCACTAGATGCCAGCAGCACCTCTAAGCTATGACAACGAAAAATGTCTCCAGACATTGTCAAATGTCCCTTGAAGGACAAAATTGTCCCCAGTTGAGAACCACTGATCTATATGCAAGGATATATTTAGGTATAACTTCTACATAAAAACATGTTTTGTGTTCCATCACTCTTCATTAAAACCTGTAAGACTTGGAAGCCAACATGGTGCTATAGACAGAAGCATCATGCCGTCCCTCCACAGCAAAGGTCCGAAAAACTAAGTAAAACAGAGATGAACGTCAGTCCTAGAACCCTGAGCATCAAATGAAGAGATAAAGAAGTCAACCATGCACTGAATGGAATAAGAAACTGACAGAGAACAGAGAGCAAGGAGAGTTATGAGTGGAGGTCCCGTATCAGCTAATACAGCACGGATCCACCATCTTGGACTCCTGACGGAGATCGGCAGACAGGGAGTACAGGAAAGTACATTCACGCAGCTCCCAGCAGGAGACAAAGCACCTGGTAACCAGCAATACACACTTTCCCACCCCCCACACTGCCTCTTCCTGCTTGGCCTTTGCCGCTTCCCAGCAGGACGATCCTCTGCTTCCCAGTGGGCTGAATTGCTGCTTCCCAGCGGGCCGATCCACTGCTTTCCAGCCAGCCACGACTGCAGCACAAGAGGCACTGGTTCCATGCCATGCAGCATCGTCCCACCCACACCAGCCAGCTTCTTCAGTGCCATTTGTTTGTTGCTGGTGTTTCTCTTTTGGGCCTGTTTTGGTTTCTTCCATGCCTCTCACCTCCTCACCCTCCTTACTCTCAAACATCTGACTCAGTGTGCCATCTTTGCTTCTTCTTGACAGGCTGTTAAGCACCACTTGGCTAGGGAAATGATTCCCTGGTGTGCACTGCCACATTTGGTGGGATCCCTGAGGGCTTCTTTTCTTTTTCTTTTTCTTTTTTTGTTTGTTTTTTCTTTCCTTTTTCCTTTTTATTTTTCCTCATTTCTCAGTTTCTTGTCTCCTTCTACTTACCTTCTTTTCCTGTCTCCTGAACACCTGGTGCTGTGTATCGTCTCCATCCCTTCTAGCCAGGCTGTACTACTCAGCTTAGGAGCTGCCTACCCTCTGGTCTGTGCAGCTGTGTGGGTAGGATCCCTGGGGAC